AGTTTGACATCCCTAATATTAATATATATAAATAATATATTATATTAATTATATAACTTATATAATATAAATATATAATATCTATATTAGTATATTATTAATATAGTATATTAATATATTATTATTATTAATTTATTATATATTATAATTTATAAAATTTAATTTTTTTAAATATCATAAATTTTTTTATATAAAATTATTTTAAATTATTTTATATTTTAAACAATAACGACTCGAACACGAACGAATGCATCATTATTCATATTTGTTCATTTAACTAACCGAAAGAAAAAAAATTTGCTCACGTTTGTCTCACTTATCGAACAAATCAAACATGAACTCATTGACGAACCGACCACAAACTATTCACGAACAACGAACTTTTTTGACAGCCCTAACATGCACACCACTAATTCTTATGCATTTACATAACTGACTTTATTTATTATATTAATATTATTTAAATCTCTCACATCACATCAAAAACATCAGATATAATTAAAAATTGAAAATTAGTTGTTAGATATGTAAATACATGGGAATTAAGTGGTATGTATGTAAATCCTCCGAAATAAAACATTTTATTCTTTTGGTTTTTTCCACCAACTTGATAGATGTTGCAAAGCAAGAGGAATTAAAAAAAAAAAGTAATTAATATTATTTTATCAACTGCTCCAACAGTGCAGCACAGGAAGCGTTTGATTTCGACATTATGTTTTTATTATTAATTTCATATATATTTATCGGCAGCTACGACTTATTGAATACAACTTATTGAATAATATGCTGATAAGCTGATTAAAAATAATCTATCTATAAGTTAGGTATGGTGGCTATTATAAATTTTTATTTTTTTTTTGAAAAAATCATACCACAACCAGAAAGCTGTTACCACATTTAAATAGATGCAGTGTGAAAATGCTATTTTCAGCGTTTTGAAAACGCATAAACTGCCAAAATATAATTTACCTAAACAAATCAGCCGAGTTTTCAAAACACCACCACATCAAATAAACTGCCACAAACAGATTTGGATAAATCTACATAATTTATTCCAAAACAAAGATAATGTTGCTTCCAAGAAAAAATATTTTTTTAAAAAATAGTGACCATGAATATATCGTCATAATATCGTGGGTCACCCTTTATTATTATTATTATTATTATTATTATTATTATTTGCGGATTTTTCTACTCTTTTATACGAGAAATTGATAAACATACCCGGATTTTATGAAAGCCTTAAATGGAAGATAAAAAGGCAGAATGGTTTAATTAATTTACATATTTCAACACGTGTGCCAGAAAATGACTTTTTTTTAGATAAATTATTTATAATAGTGAGATCATGTAATTAAAAATTTGACAAACGAAGGAAATTTCGGTATAAAAATATAATTATAGAAGGACTTGAAGCGAAGATTTAGAAAACATTATATTTAAGCAATTATTTAGTTTCATTAAGGTATGTTTAGGGCAACTTGTGCGTTTCAGGATGAACAGCTTATCCTGAAATGCAGTCTACAGTTCGAACTGACCTGCATTTAATATGAAAATAGAACCACGTTTTCAAATAAGCAGGCAAAATGTACAATCCAAACGGTACCATGACTTTTTCAAAAACATCTCCGCACTTATAAGATGCTCGAGCCATCTGATTGTAAAATACAGTTTTCCCAATAAAAACTTATTGAGAAAATAGACGGATAAAATTTTACGAATATAGTATTTTTGTTTGTGCCCAAATCAATCCTATGTTTCAGAATATTTGGTTTTTATTTAGTATTACAAACTGGAAGATTTACATGCATGCCACTCAACTCCCAAATATATTTACATGTCTAAACATATAAACTTAAATTTTTACGTACATCTTACCTTTAAATAAAAATGCGCATTAAACTTTCAAAGAGCGAAAATAGTAGTATTTATTTTTATATGATATGAAATATGTGACAGAAATGTACAAAATAAAATTCAGGCGATAGCATAAATACATAGAAATTGAATGTTATTTAACTAAATACTCCATTTTAATTTAATGAAAAAAATAAGCAACATTTAACTAAAAAACACTTTTTTTTTTAAATGAAATTTATACAGCGAAGAGATCTATCGAGATACATTGGAAATAGGTGGTATACATGTAAACGCCCCATTTAAGTTCTGATATAGAGATACGTTCGGAGTCCAATAAAATTACGTCACCTAGAGATGACAAAAAATTGTAAAAAAAACCACTTTAGCAAAAAAGAATAATTCCCCGTGTTATTTAGGTGTTATTGTAGTGGTATTTATGTATTGTTGTGTTCTAGGAATATTCCAGATGTTATAATAACACAATAACACATCAATATCACCACAATAACATCTGAATAACATGAAATAACACCAGAAGAATATTCTCCCATATTACCGGGTCAGATCACAATAAAACGAGTTTTTTTTTTTTTTTCTATCAGCTCCACGTGGAGGTGATTCATTGAACTCTGTAGAGATAATTTTTCTTAAAACAAAAGTTATTTTGTTAAATAAATATTTAACTAAAAAGTCAAATAATATCGCTGGCTTAAGTTCGAAAAAATCTGATAAGATTGATTTAAAAGCTACTCAAAAAATATGCAGCACATGATAGCACATAATTAAAAATGCAAGCAATCCGGAAGGAAAAGAAAAGAACATAAAATAGACTTTTATCAAATCAAATTAAATTAGTTTTATTCATTATAAATACTATTTTTATTGTTGATAATTACCTGGAAAAGGCTCCAAATACCCCCCACCCAACGACCAGAAATCGTCCTTGTCTGTTGTGTATTTTTTTTCAGGAGGAATAGTTCTCCGGTAGCACTGGAGCCCATACATATGTCGGCTTAGAATGCACCCTTTAAAGTGGAGAAATTTACAGCCTGCCATTAGCTTTGTCGCCTTAGCACTATTTCATTTATATAAGTCCAACAAATAATTCAATAGTAAAAGGCAATTTGCAGAGAGCATTAAAGACAAAAAAAAGAATGCTTTTTAGTTAGAAAATAAATAAAAGCACTTTATATTTTGTTTTTTTTATTTGTATTTAATGATATTTATAAGGAAAACTTACATGCATAACACTTAATTCCTATCTATTTATGTATTTATGTATTTATGTATTTAATACCTGAAATTCAATTTTTACATATATGTCACATTATCTATGCATGAGAATGTGTACTTCACCTTTTAAAGATTAAAACTGTAGTATTTTTATGTGAAATGAAAGATTTGGATGGTTATATATATATATGATTTTACCAGTAACAATTACAGTGAAAGCTAATTCATGTAATTTAGCAGAAAAGGTTGAGTGCTTTGTTAACTGGTAATGAAGAAATTCGTTGGAAATGTCACAAATAATACAACAACAATAAAAACAAGAACAAACATTTATCCAACTAAATGGGGTAGGCTACATGAATTTTTTTTCTCTATTGTGTCTTATTGAGTGTCATATTTTCATTTAATTATAATAAATAAAGATCAATTTTTATACAACATGCCCAAGCCTTCTCAGGTCTACCTTCACAACTTAAGTTAAATATCAAACATATGTTATCCTAATTGGGTGTAGATAGTCTACGTTTAGTGTGACCAAACCAACTAAGACGACTCTCTAATCCTGTATGTCACTGAAGCTACTCTAACCCTTTCACGAATATAATTGTTTGCATTTTATCTCAAGTGTAAAGCCACTCATCCACCTGAGCACTCATCTCACCAACACTTTTAATTTAATTTTATGTTTCTCTTTTACAAGCTAACATTCTGCGTCATAAAGCAATACATGTCTTACACCGTCATTTTACATAATTTACCTTTTTAAGTCTAAACGGTACTTTTCTATCACACAATAGAACGGATGCATTTCTCTACTTCAATCATCCAACTTGAATTATACTAATAACATCCCCGTCTATACTACCATCACTTTAAATAATAAACCCGAGATATCTAAAACATTCACTTCTTTTAATGATTTGATCACTAAGTGTAATAACTCCGCCACTAGATCTACTACCACTAGAATTAGATTTCATATATTCAATTTTAGATCTACTCAAATGAAAGCTTTTAGATTCTAAAGTTGACCTCCATAAATCAATTTTTTTTTAAATTCTCTCTCTAGTTTTATCCAAAAGGAGGATATCATCACCTAAAAGCATATACCAAGGTATGTCCTATAAATGTCCAGTAAGAACATCCATAACTAAAGGATATGGGCTTAAAGTCGATCATTATATAATCATAAAAATGCCACAAATATGATAAGAAAATGCATTGATAATTTCTGTAGAGATGACTGATTGAGTTGATTATATCTTAAAGGTAATGTATTGAGTTGATGCATGTCACACAATTCATATGTTATATGCTTACACAGCTAAAACCTAAAGTTTGATATTTACATTTAGAACGCTTTTGTGTCATAGACCTATACATGAAATGGTGTATTTCGTTTTTCCAAAATTTAGTGTTAGTTGTATGTTTTATGTGAGATTAAAAATTTGAATGTTATATATGTACATATGAAAGTATAGGTGTTAGATATGTAAATATAAAAGAATTCTGTGGAATGTAGATGCCCCAAGCTTCTTGCTCACAGGGACAGTATTTCTACAATATTTCTACGTCAAATCAAAATAGTCATGGAAGCAACCGAGATGACAACAAGAAAATCAAGTGAAAACAAAACTAGCTTTTATAGGAGTTAACTGAAACCACAAAAAAATATAAATATTATTATTGAATTCATATAGGGTTACAATAACGACTCATCACAAAATAAGAATTAGACGATAACTGACATAAAAGGACACGCTAGGGTGACGGCCAAGGGTGTCAGCGGCTGCAGGATAGTAGGTAATATGGTGAATTGGGGCTGTGGTAGCAGCATGACAACTGCGGAGGGAGTTGTGGCAGCTAGGTAGGGTGGGTGCTTGAGAGGTTGTTGTAGCAAGGTGGAGTGCTGGAGAGGCAATCAGCAGCAGGTCGGAGCAATGACGGGTTGTCAGCAACAGGACAAAGCGTTGGAGAGGCTGTCAGCATTAAGTCGGAGTGCGAGATTGAAACAGGAAAGGGTGGGAATGCCTGGAAGATGGGAGCGCGCAAGTGAGAAGAATATGGAAGGATAACTATTCCCACGGAAGAGAGTTATAACTGAAGCACCATTCGAATTCCTGGACAGAATCACCAACTCAAACGTTTTATAGTCGGAGCACCAATTCTCCCTCAAATACAACCCTAGAAGAGAGGATGAAGACGTTAACGACAGTAAGAACATAAAACTTAGCCAAAAACTAAACCTAAAACACACACACACATCGGCAGTACGAGTGTTGGGGAGGCTGTCGGCATTTGGTCGGAGTGCGGGATTAAAACACAAAGGGGTGGGAATGTCAGGAAGATGGTAGTGAGCAGGTGAGGGGAATATGGAAGGGATAACTATCCAAGCAAAAGTGAGGTACAACCGGAGCACCATCTCACCGTTAGATACGACCCTAGAAGGGATATATATCCATACACACACACACACACACACAATATATATATATAA